TTTCCAAGTATACACTTTATTTGTGGAATCTTACTAAAGAAAAAAAGGACTTAGATTTTTCATTTTATGACTACCACCACTTTCACATATCAATACCATCCTCCCATCTCCAATAACCATAAACTCACATAAACATACCTCCTCCCTCTTCAGAAGCATAACCTAGTAGTTAAAGTATAAATTTTGCAATTAGCCTTTATTTGAAACTGGCCTTTACCACTTACTGGTCATATGACTTTAGGTAAATCACTTAACTGCTATGCCTCTGTTTCTTCATGTATAAAATGAGGTATAATGACATTGCCTGTTTTAGAGTTGCTATAAAAAATGAGCTCATGCATATAAAGCATTTTCAACAGTGCACAGCAAGTGCTATATAAATCTCTACTATTATTATAATACTGTCACAGTTTTTCATTAAATCAAAATCTAATATTTATACTATTATAACTAAGAAAATATTCACAGATGAATCACATAAATTAGTTAGATTACATTTCCTTTGTCCTACAAATTTTTGTTTGTTTTATTTTAATTAATCTTTATTGTTAAAAGTATCACAGATGTCCCTTTTCCCCACTGATCCTCTCTAGCCTGCTCCCCACCCCCACCTTCACAGCACTATTGTCTGTGATGATTGGTTATGCATATATGCATATAAATTCTTTGGTTAATCTCTTCCCACCCACCCCTCCACCCTTCCCTCTGAGATTAGTAAATCTGCTTCCATGTCTCTGGATCTTTTTCATTCATCAGTTTATTTTGTTCATTAGATTTCACATATATTACCCTATTTTTCTTTTCCATAATTTTCTGTATGCCTATTACTAATTAATTCCTGGCTCTATGACAAACTGTAAAACTCTCTCCATACTGACAAATACATCAAGTCATTTATCAACTTATCTATTTTTCTTTTTGGAGACAACCACCCTACGCCATACTGACTGGTTGCTCTTTAGGGCTACGGCATACCTGTCAATCTTGGACATGAAGGATTCCTCTTTCTTAATTTACTCCCACATTTTGATATAGTACAAACTCTGCATGCTTTCTAATAAAGACTACATGAGCATTAAAATTTCTGAGACCTTGCATATTTGAAACTGTCTTTTCTCTATCTCACACGTGACTGATAGTTTGAGTACAGAAAGATGTAAATATTTGCTTAGTCATTGAAGGTATGGTTCTAACATCTTCTAAGGTTCTAACATCTTCTAGCATCCTATGCTGCTGCCAAGAAGTCATTCTGATTGTCAGTCCTATAAATGTGACCCTTTGTGTTTGAATGGAAAGCCTTTCAGTGTTTTGGTCTCTGTCTTCCATGTTAGTGATTATTCCTGCAACTGTCTAGTGATCTGTGGCTGTCTGTTTATTTTCAAGAGTGAAGCAATTAAGAAGATAACTGGACTCTCTGTGTATGAGAGGAAAGTTTAATAATGGTGAACTTCACTGTCTAGTCATCAGACAAGGACTGTCCATTTCATCAGGAGACCCCCCACAGATCAGTATACTCTCCTAGTTCAATCAGTCTTCCAAGGGAGAAATCCACCAATCCTGCCTGAGACACATAAAAGAGGATAAAAACATTCTGAAAGCCAAGTAAGACAAGTCTACTGGAGGGACCCAAAACTCACTATGTAAGCATTCGTTGTTTTCAGTACGGGGTCTTATTCCTGCCCATAGCTGTACTTGGAGCCCCTAACTCTGGTTTTCAGTCTCACTACAGTAGTGCTGGCCAGTACGGTAGCCACTAGCCTCATGTGGCTATTTGAATTAATTACATCTAGATAAAACTAAAAATTCAAATTTTCAGTCACATTATATAATTTCAAGTGCTCAATAGCCACTTGTGGCTACTACATTAGACAGGGCAGATATAGAACATTTCCATCACCACAAAAAGTTCTAAGGACAGCACTGCTCTAAAGAGTAAATTCCAGGCTTATGCTGAGGCAACAAGTGATAGTCACTTGGCTGCTGAGCTGAGGGAAGGAATCTGAGAGAATCTACCTACTCCTCAGTGTAAACCACAGGCTTCTGCTAATGCAAATGAGGGGCTGTCATGTGGCTGTGGAGCTAAGGGCAAAAATATAAGGGGATAATTCTTAGACCTGTAGTTTCCAAAGGTTGCCACAAATCACATGGAACTATTTACGTTTCAATTAATAAAAATAAAATTCAATTGTTCGATCTCTGGTCAGGGCATATACAAGAAGCAACCAATGAATCAATGAATACATAAATAAGTGGAACAACAAACTGACATTTCTCTTTCTCAAATCAATCAATAATTTTTTTTTAAGTTCATGATTCTTTTTGAATTAGTTTAAAAAAAATAAAAAATATGCCCAGCCGGTGTGGTTCAGTGGATTGAGCATCATCCCATGAACTGAGAGGTCCGTGTTTGATTCCTAGTCAGGGCACAAGCCTGAGTTACAGGCTCGATCCCCAATGGGGGCCATGCAGGAGGCACATAATTGATGTTTCTCGCTTACATCGATGTTTCTACCTCTCTCCCTACTTCTACCTACATAATCAATTAAAAAAAAAATTGTTAAAGTAAAATAAAATTCAATTAAAAATTTTGTTCCTTAGTCAAGTATGTAGTTCAAGTATTCAGTAGCCACATGTGGAAAGTGGCTATGGCACTGGACAACACTGTTTACAAAACATTCCCATTGAGAGGAAGCAGAGTTTGCCACCCCAAAATATGTTTTTTGAGAATACTGATTATTTTAAGCTACTATTTTTTAAGAAACGAAAGACTAAAAAAAAAAACTTTTTACTTCCTCCATACCTGTATAAAAAAATTCAGATAGAAAAACCTGTTCCAGAAAGGGAGATCACCTTCATAATATGAACTAAACGTGGCAGACAAGAACCTGCAACATCTGTCAGTTAGACTCCACTCTGTGTCTGAATAGCCTGGCAAGAATCTCTTTACCAAATCATTGCTCCTTCTTTTCCACCTGGCAATTGCCTACCTTCCCTTTAAAGTCCAAACTACTAACCCCTCTTTTTCCTTAAGAGTGCATATAATCCTCAATTGCAGAATTTGTCCTGGGATCTCATATTCTTACCCCACATATATACACACATAATAAATTAGGCTATTTTCTCTTGTTAATCTCTCTCATATCGATTTGATTATTAGACCAGATAGAAGAACTTAGAATACAAAGAAAATCATTTTTCCTCCTCCACACCATCATTCAGAAACTTCTATTGAACAGCAGTGCCCTAGACATTAAACAGACCTTCGTGATTTCAGTAGTCTTTCATCCCTATATTCAGAGCTACATGTTTCTTACAACAATCAACAACAAAAATACACTAATCATTCCCAGGTTTAATACAGTAAATCAATTTGTTTCTTGTTGCCTTCTCCCATAGCAGACACAAGTTTCAGCTTTCTTCATGGCCAGACTTATCTGAATTAAAAAAGGCACCTCCTTTGGAATGAGTGGAATGTACCTTTGTAGGAGGAAAAGGGCAACCCTTCTTCTGGATATACACAAACCTTGTTCTAGGGCACATAGCTTGGAAGTCAAGGGCAGGCTGGAGTTTCACTGTCATGTGCCTCCTTGGCAAGATACTCTTGTGCAGTATAAGTCTAAATTATTTTACACTTGTATACTGTTCTTTCTATTATGATTCCATCTATCAATACTAAGAAGGTGCTTCAATCACTCACACAAGTCTCAAGCAGGTATATATCTAAGTGGAACAAAAGTAGAAAGACTGCATACTCTATTCTTTATTATTTTTTTTTATCCTCACCCAAGGACATTTTTTTGCATTTATCTTCAGATAGAGATGGAGGGAAGCGGGGGAGCGAGAAAAACATCGATATGAGAGAGACACATAGACTGATTGCCACCCACATGACCCCAACCAGGGCCGGGAATAAATTGCAACCAAGGTAGGTGCCCTTAGCGGTAACCAAACCCGGGACTCTATGATCCACAGGTAGATGTTCTAACCACTGAGCCAAACCGGCCAGGGCTATCTTTTTAAAATAACATAGACCAAGTGTTGGCGAGGGTGTGGAGAAAAGGGGACTCTAGTACACTGCTGGTGGGAATGCAGACTGGTGTAGCCAGTATGGAAAACAAGATGGTGTTATCCCAAAAAATTAAAAATTGAACTGCCATTGGACCCAGTGATCCCACTTCTAGGAATATAACCTAAGAAGCCTGAAACATCAATCAGAAAGAATATATGTACCCCCATGTTTATTGCAGCACTAGTTACAATAGCTAAAATCTGGAAACAGCCCAAATGTCCATCAGTAGACAAATGGATAAAAAAACTGAGGTACATATACACAATGGAGTACTACGCAGCTGTAAGAAAGAAAGATCTCTTAACCTTTGAGACGACATGGAGGGACCTGGAAAGTATTATCCTAAGTGAAACAAGCCAAACAGAGAAAGACAAGTATCATATGATCTCACTTATTTGTGGAATATAATGAACATAACAGTCTGAGGAATGGGGTAGTCCCAGAGATGTGGAAGTGGGGTACAGACTGACAATCCCCAGAACAAGGGGTGTGGGGGAGAGATAAACCACAGAACCTATATGCATGTGTGCATGAAGAATAAACATGGACAACAAAACTGGGAACAGGGTGGGGAGGGAGAGGAAGGGGGTATCAGTGGGGGAAAAAGGAGAAACATCTGTAACAAAAATAAATAACTTAATTAAAAAAATAAAATAAAAATTTCAAAAACAATAAAATAAAATAACATTGACAACCATAATTATTAGTTCACAAGCAAAATGATTATAGCTGGGTTTTCTAAATCCTGTTCTCCAGAAACTATAATAAAACTCCTACCAAAGTAAAAAAGCAACTTCTCAGAAAAACTTCTTTTGACCATAATACCTCAACAACAAATTAACTTTTAATTCTGATGCATTTTTGATTTATCAGTAACAGATATAATGCTGAATAAAAAGAGGGGAAAAAGTAATATATTTTTATTACAAACCTGCGCTGGTGGTACTTGCAATGGATTATTATCCAAAATTATTACTTGTAAATGATGCAGCTTCCTGTAACAAACTGGAATTTCGGTCACTTTATTACAAGAGAAATCCAACTTGACTAAGGGAAGATCTCCTAATTCTGTTCAGAAATAAAAAAAATAATGAATTAAATTTTACATAGTTACACTTCTATAAATGTCAGTAAAAACAATGAGCATTTTACCATCTGGCAATGCATGAAGATTATTTCTTCTTATATTGAGCTCTCTAAGTGAATGTAATTTTCCCATTTGTTGAGGAAGAACCTGAATCTCATTGCAGCTAATATCCTAAGGAAAACAAGAAAATAAAATTATAACAAACTGAGAACTACAGATATATTTAGATTCTTGAAGTGCATGACTAATAGCTAGCAAAAGTTACCTTTTAAAAATATTTTAATCTTAAAATTACAGTTGACATACAATATTATATTTGTGTCAGGTGTACAACCCCATGATCAGATATTTATATAACTTGCAAAGTGATCACCCCGATAAATCTAGTACCCATTTGACACCATATATAGTCATTACAATATTATTGACTATATTTCCTATGATTACTTTACATTCCCATAACTATTTTATAACTACCAATTTGTACTTCTAAATCCCATCATCTTTTTCACCCTTCTCCCCAAACCCCCACCCTTCTGGCAACCATTAAAGTGTTCTCTGTATCTATAAGTCTGTTTTGGTTTTGCTTGTTCATTTATTTTATTTTTTTAGATTCCACATATAAGTGTTTCTAGATTCCACATAAAAGTGAAATCATCTTGCATTTGTATTTCTATGTCTGACTTATTCCACTCAACACAATACCCTCTAGGCCCATCCATGTTTTTGCAGATGGCAAGGTTTCATTCTTTTTTTATGGTTGAATCATATTCCATTGTATATATGCACCACTTCTTTATCCATTCATCTATTGATGGACACTTAGGTTGCTTCTATATCTTGGCTATTGTAAATGATGCTGCAATAAACATATGGATGTATATGTTTTTCATTTACTGTTTTGGGTTTCTTCAGATAAATACCCAGAAGTAGAATTGCTGGGTCGTTCTTTGTCTATTTTTAAAGCCTTTGAAGTTTATGTTGTCTGGTATAAGTATTGCTACCCTAGCATTTTTTTGTTGTTGTTTCCATCTTTGTGAAATATCTTTTTCTATCCCTTTATTTTCAATCTGTGTTTGTCTTTTGATTTGAGTGAGTCTCTTGTAGACAGCATATATAAGGATTGTGTTTTGTTATTCATTCAGCCATGTCTTTTGATTAGAACATTTAATCTATTTGCATTTAAAGTAATTGTTGATAGATATGTATCTATTGCCATTTTATTGTTCATATTTTTTTATATCTTTTTCTCTTCTTCTTAAAGAAGAAGACCCTTTAACAATTTTTAAAATACTGATTTGGTGATGATGAACTCCTTTAGCTTTTTCTTGTCTGGGGAGCTCTTTATCTGTCCTTCAATTTTAAATGACAGCTTTGCTGGGTAGAGTAATCTTGGTTGTAGGTCCTTGCTTTTCATCACTTTCAATATTGCTTGTCAATCCCTTCTGGCCTGCAAAGTTTCTGTTGAGAAATCAGTAGACAGTCTTATGGATGTGCCCTTGTAGATAACTAACTGCTTTTCTCTTGTTGATTTTAAGATTCTCTGTCTTTAACTTTTGGCATTTTAATTATAATGTGTCTTGGAGTGGGCCCCTTTGGGTTTGATACCATTGTAATTAACCTAGTTATTAATAACAGAAAAGAAACAAAGGGAAGACCAGATATTATAAGCATGTCATCGAGGCAGTTTCACAAGGAAACTACAACTTTACACTCCTCAAGGGCCCAACAAAGGAAAGATAGCCACATGCCCAGTAAAGTTGGGGGGACTAGCAAAGGTGCTTGCTGTCAGTAATACCAGAGAACAAAGGTCACTGGCCAGAATGGGCATGGCAATTGCGAGGGCGTGAAATTTGGACTAATTAATCCCCTGAACAAAGAAATTCGCTCTCTTGTGCTCTTTTGCTCTCGGGACCATTGGGACTTTAGTTGCTTTGGGGGCTGTCCTGCATTTGCCCACATGGACCCCATGCTCAGTGGAGTGATGGATTTCAACTAGCCTGATGCTGTACTGGACCTGGCTCCAACATGAAAAGAAAGCTTTGGAAATTGGCTCTCATTTTAGCTTTACTGAAAGGATGTAATTCTACGGAAATAAAGCTTTCTACCATACTTCATACTCCTGTGAGGACCTTCAGAAATGATATTCCAGTAGTACCCCAAGAACCCCACATCCACCAATAATAAGTTCATCTTGTTTGGGACTCTCTGTGATTCTTGGACTTGCATGTCTATTTCCTTCACCAGGTTAGAGAAGTTTTCCATTATTATTTTTTCAAATAGGTTTTCAATTCCCTGTTCTCTCTCTTCTCCTTCTGGCACGCCCAAGATGAGAATGATGGTATACTTGAAGTTTCCCCAGATGCTCCTTACACGCTCTTCATTTTCTTGGACTCTTTTTTCTTTTTGCTATTCTGATTGGGTATTTCCTGCTTCCTTATCTTCCACATAGCTGATATGATCCTCTGCATCATTTACTCTACTGCTGCAAAAGTTCTCTTTGTTGTTTTCCTAAAGATAGATTATGTGGCAGATGTCTGTTTATATTACATCATGAAGTCAACCTAGTACAATTAACATAAATTTGTTGTGCAAATATTTGAGGTTATAATTTGGTACTACATAGGTCTGCCATTTAATATCTCAACTAAAAACCATTCTTCATCAACTAAAACCAGAAGTAAGGGTGATCCAAGAGTTTTTTATTCAGAGGTAAAATAAAAAACAACTATTAACCCATTGTGATACTTTGTCAATTACAGTTGTTGTTTTAAGATGCTTGATTGGGCAGAAGCTGAACAAGTCAAGGATTTACACATATGAGCTGAAGAAATAAGAATTATGACAAAGATTGATTTAACTAAACTTCTTTCTCAGAAGGATGCAAAATATGAGGAATTACAAACATAACATTTTGTGGCTCACAACCAAAAGACAATCTAGGAAATCTGAATAGGAAATGCTCTGGGGTTAAATTAAAATGCAAGCCCTGATTTAAAGATAAACAATACCACATTTCCATAAAAAGAGGATAAATAACAGCTTAAGTTAATTATGCTCTCCTCTCCCTCTCCTTTCTTATTACCACATCAACGAAAAGGGAATAAACATCTGCAACAAAATCTCAGCATTTGTTCCAGACATACTGCAAATGAAAATCATATTCCACCACAACTGCCCCCAATTTCTATTTTTTAATAGAAATTATATTAGCTTGGAGGAAGAAGAGTGGCACATACATTCAGTCTTATCAAAAGTAAAAAAGGCAGGAAGGTAAATTCAAAAGAATGTTAAAGAATATCTAATCATTTAACATATAAATGATTAGAGAAATGTATCCTACATACAATTCTTTCAAATTAGAAGGCATATCTATTCAACAACAAATATTTATCAAACACCAACTATTTCCTAGGCACTGTTCAAGTTGCTGGAGACTGTGGGCATTCAGAAGGAGCTACCGCAAGATGTGCCTCAGTACTATGTGATTATTTTAAGTTTAAGGCAACTGAGACTCTGCAGGCTCAAGAAACTTCTGTGTCCTCTCCCCTTCCTTAACTATTTAGAAGAATTTAAATTAGGAGCCTGGCCCAGGGTAAGAGTTATCATCAGAAATATCTTTTTACTTATCTATATGGTAAGGAAAACTATTAATTACTGAACATATGCTCTCCTTGTAGTGACCTACTGAAGCCGCAAGGTACATTATTACCTCATGCCTAGCTCAGAATGTCTTATATACTTATGATTCCTTTCTGTCTCTGAACCTGTCCTGCAGATGGGTCTCTGACTCTCTTGTGTAAATGGGGTTCCCGATACTTTTGTGTGCATAAAATTTGGTTGTTTTCTCTTGGTAATGTCTTATGTCTATATGATTAATAGACCAGCCAAAAGAACCTTGCGGGTGAAGGAAAGTTTCTTCCTCCACCACAGAACCCATCAAGGAATAAAACAAACAAAAATTCCTGCCCTCACACCTTTTTATAGAGCTTACATTCTAGCAAGGGAGAAATTATATAATATGCTAGAAGATGTTAAGTGCTATTTACAGAAAAAAAACACAGCAGGGTAAAGGCAAATGGCAGTGCTAGTGGAAGTAGGAAGGGATATTAGCAATTTAGATTGTCTCATGGAGAAGCTGTTATTTGAGCACTGTTGTCAGAGAGATTAGACGGTGATCCACAGAAATACATAAGAAAAGACTATTCCTAGTCAGTAATATTGTGATAACCATGTATGGCACCAGCTGGAATATTGAAAATATTGTCTAACCACTAAGCTATATACCTAAAATCCATAGAAAATAAAAGGAAAAGAAAAAAAAAATATTCCACAGAAGAGGAACAATAAATGGAGAGGCTCTTGGGCAAAGCATGTCTGACATGTACTAAGAACAGCAAGGAACCCAGTGTAACTAGACGGAAGTGCACAGGGGAAGACAAGGATGAGGAAGGGGCACAACTTTGGCTTTTACTCAAAGAGATGTGGGTAGGCCCAGAAACTTTTAAAAAGAGGTATGGATATGAAAACAGCGGCGGAGTGAATGTAAGATACACAGATAATCTACCAGGACCAAACGGGAACTATAACTAAAATAAAAACAAATCTTCAGAAAAGTCAACAGAAAAGCAGCAGGACAGGACCATATAACCAGGGACACTGGTAGAATCTGCATAGGTGCAAGAGGGTGGCTGTCTGGGAGCCCAGGGACAGCAGCAGACTTAACTGTGAGTGGCACCATTGGAGAATAAAGAACAAGCCTGCTCCATAGCCCAGAGAGGCAGGACAGAGGGCCAAAATAGCCACAGCCACTCACCTGGTGGCTACGGCAGAGGGAGGGCAGACTGGACTGGAACTCTGTGGGGACACCCAGAATTTGGAAGGCACTGAGAGTTTTTGCTGAGTTGCACCCACAAAGGAAGGTGGCCAGTGTGCTCCATCCCAGAGCTGTGGGGAAAAGCATCAGGCCCCACCTCAGAGATTCAGCCTATCCCAGGTGAGGCAAAGAAATAAACATTGTAGCTCATTAACAACCAGCATCTATCCCACTCTATGCAAATCCACTTATGCAGAACACCAGGGCTAATTCAAGACACTGAGTAACTGAGACTACTAGCCACCAGGCAAAAAGCTAGAGGATAACTGAACCTTTCCTGGGCTTGCAAGTCAAC